AAATTGACAAGACACATATTTATATGTCTCCATTGTTGATGGTCTCATGTTTCCCATTGAATCTAATAACTACTACCAAAGTTCCATGTAATCATCCTTTAATAGAGAAGAAAGGAAAAACTACTACCATAATATGTCTATTGATTTGTCGTGCTTACTGATTAATCGTTTTTAATAATGACATCTCTTACTATAGAAACACAACCAAGACACTAAGCTTTAAACCTAATTAAAGCCAAAAACAGAAAAAGACGCGTGTTACTTCAATTTTCTATACTTCCATTTCATAAGACAATTGTCCCTTAGATACACGAAAAATGTTTAGAAATTAATTGTCCACTATGGAACGTGATGTGAAAAAAACGTGATGTGAACGTAAGCAGAGAAACATAAGGGTTTTGTTCTATACGAGTCCATGCTTTTCTTTTGCCGGCAAAGAAAGTAACCTTATAAGGGTTTTTTTTAATTAAACTGAAATTATGAGTCCATGCTTTATGAAGAATTTCTGTTGTTTTTAACTTTATAAATAAAGGAATATGATCATCCGTCGTTATAAAGAAAGAAATCTGTAACCGATTTATTTTTATTAAACGCGTTATACAATTAATAAATTACACAAAAAATGGCAACAAATTTCTACAAAGAGGAAAAAAAGAGATTACGCCGTGAAATGTGGTTTGATGTAAAAAAAGACTCACCGCATCATCACAATTTACATGCAAACCAATACCACCTCGTCGTACGCCACGTGTCTTTATCTGATGGCTACCGTTACATCATCAATGAAAAATCAACCAAATATAAAAATTTAAAACCAAAATAGTCATTGATTCGTAAATTACCATTTGTTAACTTTCCTCCTTTCCTCTAATCTTCCTAAATTTTTTCGTTTTTGTAAGGAAAGAGAATAAAGGGAAAAATCTTTATTCGTGTGTGTATAGATAAAACAAATATATTACATATGTGTGGGTATGTTTCTTGGGATGATCGACATGCAACGATGAAATCATCATCATCATCGATTTTCCGAGAAAATTCAGAGAAAACAGAGAGATGGATAGTGATGAACATGTGGAGGAGATTAACGCCATTACTCTTGTCTTCTTTTTGTATAACTCTCTTCTTCGTTGGTCTCTTCGTTTACCCTCAAAATCCTTTTAAATCCATCTCCGATCGAAATTTTCTCTCCCTCCAACCTCTAATCGGTAAGGTAAAAATATAAAACATAATCATCAAAATCTTGCATACCTATCATTTGTGTTAGCTTTCTGTTTTCTCTCCACGAACTCATTACAAAAATTTCGTTACATTTTTGTTATGTTTTAAATATTCACACGTTTTTGTTTTTTTATATATTGTCGGAAAATTTTATTGATTTGTTTCTTGTTGTTGTTTGGTTAGATTCTGAGTGTGATTTGTTCAAGGGACATTGGGTTCCAGACAAAAGAGGATCTTTATACACGAACTCGAGTTGTTCTACGATTCCTGACTCGAAGAATTGCATAAAACATGGGAGACCAGACAGGGATTTCTTGTCTTGGAGATGGAAACCCGACGGCTGCGATCTACCGAGGTTTAATCCCAAGGTGTTTCTCGGTATGGTTCGAGGCAAGAAGATGAGTTTTATTGGTGATTCTGTAGCAAGGAACCACATGGAATCTCTTCTCTGTTTGTTGTCAATGGTATAGCTTAAGGGTATATATGTTGCTTTGTTTACATGAAAAGGATTTTGAGAAGAATAATGGCTTTTACTTTAAGTTTGTGTTTTACTTGTGCAGGAAGAAACTCCTAAAGACATCTATAAAGACGGAGAAGACAGAAACAGGATTTGGTACTTTCCGAATCATGATTTCACTCTGTCGACCTCGTGGACTAAGTTTCTTGTGGCGGAACAAGAGAGGAGGGACGATAACAATACGGGAACTGGATTGTTTGATATAGATATTGGTAAGATTGATGAAGGTTGGTATAAGGATCTGCCGAGTACAGACATTGCTATTGTCTCGGCTGCTCACTGGTTCTTCAGACCGATATTTATAAACAGAGGAGATGAATCGCTTGGTTGCATCTACTGTAACTTACCAAACATGACTCAGATTAGCCCGGACGAAGGGTTTAAGCTTGTTTACTCAGCGGTATTTAAGCACATCGACGATTGTGAGAAATGTAAGGGAGATTTAGTGACAGTCCTGAGGACTTTTTCACCTGCCCATTTCGAGGATGGGACTTGGGATACTGGAGGAGCCTGTAGCAGGACAAGTCCTTTTGGAGAAAACCAAATAGACCTGGAAAGCAATGAGATGAAGATCAGGACATCTCAGATTGAACAGCTTGAAGTTATAACAAAACGGCGAGACAACAAAGCAAAGAAGTTTGCGGTTTTGGATGTGACTAAGGTTATGCTGATGAGACCCGATGGGCATCCGAATGGTTACTGGGGAAACAAATGGATGAAAGGTTACAATGATTGCGTCCACTGGTGTCTGCCTGGGCCAATCGATGCATGGAGCGAGTTTCTAATGGCGATAATTAGACAGTTCAGATGAAATGATTTATGAATATAAACATACAAAATAGAAAACATTCTTTTACTTTTTTCTTATGCATAAGGATATCACCGATCTGATTTTTGCTCATATTATGTTACAAAGAGATTACACAATACTCAATAGAACACACATAACTTTCATTTACCTCCTTTACTTGCCCCAGAACTTCTGTAGACAGTTCCGGTTTCATGTATTCACCCGCTGATAAAACCTGCAATATATACAGAGAAATGGCTTCGAGCGATTTGTGTTCACGCAAAGACATGAAACACATGTAAGAATCTCATCCGCAGAAGATTCAAGCATCATAGGGTAGGTATCGAGAAGTGGACCGAATTATGTGCAGAACAAGATCAATCTTTTACTGAAAAACCTGATCCAGCACAATTGCACAACATTGCTTCTATACTCTTCCATCAGTTACAATTCTAGCAACCACAAGTGAATTTGAGAACAGACGCACAACAATTTCTTCAAACAATTCCTTAGAAATGCAATGGTTCAACAGTTCAACATTCATCTTCTAAACAAGGGGGGATTACATAAACAAACAAGATCAAGACTCCAAATTGTTACCAAGAGCAAAGGAGAAGACTTCACGAACAGGAGAAAACTCAACAAGACCAATATCCATGGCGTAACCATTCACAGGAAGCTTCAATTCCCTCAAAACAGAGAAACCCTCAGAGATACGAGATTTAGGTACATCAATAGCCACAGGACAAAACGGAACCCACGAATCAGTACGATACTCTTCCCCAATCTCAACACCTTCTCTCTTAATCGCGTCGCATAACTGAACCTGAAGCTGAAGAAGCGAGAGAGAAGGTGTGGGTGAGAGGAAAAGTACGTTGTTGTCGCTCGAGAAGCTTCCGATCGATGAGAAAGAGAGCGAGAGTGGCTCCTGCCTCGATGCCATGGATTTGATGATGGGTTCGAGCTTGGATGAGTCGAGGAAAGAAGTGGAGAAGAGGGTTATGTGTGGACGAGACTCGGTGTTGATCAATTTGGTACTGATTTGACGGCGAGCGAAGACGTTCCAAGCTTTCAAGACTTGGTTTTCGAGCGCTGGGTCGAAGTAGAGCTCGATCGCGAATCCTTCTGACATTTTTGAATTCGACGGAAAATGGAAGATCGAGGGGAGAAATTAAGAGTCTGAGAGGGAGATCTAAGGAGTTTGGTG